TCTTTATCCTAATCTTCCACTGTCCCTTGTATGTTTCAGACCAAGTGACACTGACAGTCTTCATCATCATAGTTGTCGTACTGCTAGTACTAGTACTAGTACTAGTACTAGTATGTGCTCTGCTGTTAGTCAGGTACGGTAACAGCTTGAGACAAAATGTTCAGACATACCCTTCCACCACCACACTGATTATTGCTCTTTTACCTTTAGCTCTTCTACTCTGGACTCCTACATTTTTTAACTTGTGAGCCTGGGCAAATGCCTGACCTTTTACCTGTTTGTGTTGGGTCTTCATTCCATCACGAACCAATTTAATCACTTGTAATGATTTTGTGCCTATAATCCTAACCATCGTTCCTGAGGAGACCCTGGCACCTCATCGTTATATAACCAACTTATGCTTAAATTGCTGTTCCTTCTACGTTATGACTTCCACAGAAAACCAAAATGTACGGCAAGTAGTAAACCTTACTTTGATGTAGAAATTATCTTATGAGTGTCTACTTATAGTTAAAAGTGTGGATGCAAGAGTATGGCAGCCCTTTCATTATAAACCTCTGTTTATTGCATTATTGTCGATAAAAATATTAGTTTTTCATTGTGTTCTGGACTTTCAGCAGTGAGTGACACAAACAAACGGGCAACACCTTCCTGCCATTAGAAACTCAGTACAATTAGATGATAATTAGCCTGATCAGCCACCCCACACATTATTATTAAAACCAAAAACAGTCAACATTAGACAACCTTATCATACTTCACCGTTTTTTGTTGTGGAAAAATATACATTATATTCAAATCAGTTTGAAAAGCTCCTTGTGTACTTCAAGTAAAATATCCTGCCCAACTCCCTTTAAGGAATATGAATCCTTAAAAACACATAACTCTGGAAAAACAAGATAAAATGTGTCTTATGTCGATAGTCTTGTCTATTCAACATCAATATAAGCCACAAAGACAAACGTTATTTCTGTACAAAGTTGATAATAGTCGCCTCAACTCGCGTGAGTGAGGGAAGACTGTGGGAATGAGAGGTGAACCATTCCAAAAGTTACGATTTCTCATTAAATAAGTTGGTTGGTGGATCAGATATATGTCCAATTAAACACAGAATCATAAAACAGTTAATTTACAGTCTGCATATGGGCCCTGTGGTCCATGGCTATTCCTGGCTAAACCCTTTTGTGCAAGCATTATAGAAGGGTTAAAAAGTTAATTTGAGATTTATAGATCACAGGTGCATAAGTTTGAAAC